TACACTCCTCTATGCCCACACATTGAGCCCTTCCTCAGTAGTAACTCCAGATAAGTTGGACTCCAACACCCATAACAGTTTTTCATCATGGGAATTATTGAAGTTGAAATTTAGTGCTGTATTTTTCACACTATAAAATGCACTTCCCCACCCCCGAAAAAAAGTGGGTGGAAATGTCTATGCATCTTATGGAGCAAATTTTGCAGCGGGGGAAGGGGGTTGTTGCATTTGCCGCCGCCACCTGTCACCGCTGCCGCCTGTCACCATTGCCGCCATTCGCCACCACCAGGGAAAGCTGGAGCCCTTGCTGCCAAGCAGTTGGTTGGTGGTTGGATTGGCCTCTCAGAATATCGCCAATCAGCTGTTCTAGGCAGCGGGGATTGCTGCTGCCACCACCGTTCACCATTGCCAATTGCCTCCACCGCCACCGATCGCTGCCGCTGCCATAGTCGCCAATCACCTCCACCGCCACCCATTGCCACCAATTGCTTCTGCAGCCGCCGATCACCGCCGCCAAATGGCAGCAGCGAACAGCAGTGGAGGCGGAGGTGATCTCTGCCACCTAGAACAGCTGATCAGCAATATTCCGGGAGGTCGATCCAACCGCCGATCAGCTGCTCAGCAACAAAGGCTCCAGCGTTCCCTGGCGGTGGCAGCAGCAGCAGCTCAGTTCAGTTGACCGGTGGTAGGGGCAACGGAGCGGAGCCCTGACGAGCCACGTGCTGGGGCTGCGATAATGTGCTGAAGCTGACCAGGTTGTTTGCTGTTTGTTGCAAGGACGCTCGCCAGATGAATACCGGATGGATGCTGGGAGGCAGAGGCAGATTTTTTTTTTCTTGTTTTCCTCCTTTAAAGCTAATGTGTGTCTTATGATCTTCCTAGGAACCATGGGGCCTATTTCCACCGGCCTCCCACCGGCCAGCTGATTTTTGGGTCTCTGGTGTGGGGCGCATGCAGGAGATATGCGTGCATGTGGGGGAGGCATGCACGCATGCACGGGGCAGGGGAGGTCGCATGCGTGAGGGGCGGGGAGAGTGTGGGGGAGGAACAGCACGCCATCCCCATCCCAAAATGGGCCTCGGGGGGTGTGGCGCCTCCCCACAGCCCATTTTTGGTCCCAGAAGGCTTCAGGGAGGCCTGCCAGGCCCAAAACTGGCCGCGGGGGATCGCGCGCACATACGCGGGGGGGGCAGGGAGCGGGGGGGGCCAAGCATGCATGGGCGGGGGGGAGGGGGGACATTGGGGGCAGGGCACACGGGGGGTATTGTGTTATGGGTATGGGCACACACCCGCGTGACCCCCCCCATGCTCCACCCGCTTTTGGCACGCAACTGCCCTATACCATTTCAGACAAGTGGCTGTCTCATCTCTTCTTAAAAACCTCCAATGTTGGAGCAGCCACAACTTCTGGAGGCAAGCTGTTCCAGTGGTTAATTGTTCTCACTATCAGAAAATTTCTCCTTGGTTCCAGATTGCTTCTCTCCTTGGTTAATTTCCACCCATTGCTTCTTGTTCTACCTTCAGGTGTTCTGGAGAATCGCTTGACTCCCTCTTCTTTGTGGCAGCCCCTGAGATATTGGTAGACTGCTATCATGTCTCCCCTAGTCCTTCTCTTCATTAAACTAGACATACCCAGTTCCTGCAACTGTTCGTCATATGTTTTAATCTCCAGTCCCCTAATCATCTTTGTTGCTCTTCTCTGCACCCTTTCCAGAGTCTTTCCAGAGTTTTGTGACAACCAAAACTAGATGCAATACTCCAAGGCATCCATCTAATATTAAACTGGCAGCAATGGCCAACATCCTAGATCAGTGTTGGCTATCCTTTCCCGGACCGAGTGCCCAAAGTGCTTGCGTGCGCAAATGCGCATACACATGGCCGAACCCCCAAAATGCAATGCATGTGTGGCCCTTGTGCATGCAGCCCGCCCCCTGCACACGGCCCACACACACATGGCCCGCCCCCCACGCATGTGTGGCACAGACCTAAAGACAAGTTGTCCGGTGGGAGCTGCGCACGCATATGCGGCGGAGCTGAACTGGGCCGATGGCTCGAGTGCCATCAGAGAGGGCGCTATATGCCACCTCTGCCATGCGTGCCATAGGTTCGCCATCACGGGTATAGGGTTTCCTGCTTGAGCAGGGGGTGGACTAGAAGACCTCCAAAGTCCCTTCCAACTCTGTTCTTTTGTTATTTTGGCCTTTGCTTCCCACTATGATGTTGGTACACTTGCTAGATCCACATGGCTCTGCTAGAAAAAGATCCTTTCCAGCTGTAGGGTGCTCCAAAATCACCTTTAAAAAAATCTGATTGCCTGGAAAGAGCAGATGTATAGAACTGTTTGGAAGGAAATTGGAGAGCTCTGGTCACATTTACTTGGACACAGTTCAGAGGGAGGAAGAAACAGAGTAGGAAAAAACAAGGTCTAATCATTCCAATCTCTTTGAAACTTCCCAGAGAAAGTTTTCATGGCTATGTTTCACACAATGTCTTAATCTACTGTAGTTATGGCAAGTGCAGCATTTTCTAAATTCACATAGTATATTCAGCCATGGAAGGAAGGAAGAAAGGAAGGGAGGGGAGGGAGAGAGAGGAAAGAAAGAAAGAAAGAAAGAAAGAAAGAAAGAAAGAAAGAAAGAAGAAAGAAAGAAGAAAGAAAGAAGAAAGAAAGAAAGAAAGAAAGAAAGAAAGAAAGAAAGAAAGAAAGAAAGAAAGAAAATTTAAAACTATTAGTCTTAATTTGTGTGAATGCAGATGCTAGGACTTTGCCCAATCCACTCCATCCCCATAATCTTGGACTAAAAATCTCTTTTATAATGTGCTTAATATTTCAGAGTGAAATAGAATTTTTGGTTTAAAATAGGTTAAGCTACTTCATCCAGGGCCATTAACTCTTGCCCGGTGGCCTCAAATAAGTCAGAATATTGATTTATTGTTTATCCTGAACGCAGAAGATAACAGACGAAGCTGCTTTTTTCGAGATTAAACTAGTCAGGGATTTAATCCTGCTTTCTCCGCAGCTGTGATCTTGTGCAGGGGTGGGCCCAGCTTCCTCCCTTGTAACCTGACAAAAACGAAGCATCTCATTCTCTGTCCACATCCCTTTTTTCTAGCAAGGCCAAGGGTAAGCATTAGATTTGGCTCTCTGGGAGTCACCTGGACCAGCATTGACCAAAATTATGGTTTAAGGTTCTCTGGTGTTTATAAGCCTACTTCTCTTCTGAGCTGCCTTGGAAGTCTGCTGAAATGGAAGTAGCCTAAAGATGAAACACTTCTGCTCGTTTGAAAACTGAAGAAAGAATTCCTCTCAAACGTCCAAACACCAGCGGGCCAAATATTTTTGTCTTAGGATCGTAAATTGTTTGCATTTGTGACTAGTTTGAAAAGATTATCGAGTGATTGAAACTTTTTGACAGTTTATTATTAGCTGTATCCACTCATACAATCACCAGCTGTGAGTTTTAAGCGTTTTACAGGCGATAAAGCAAAAATAAAGCAGCTCCTGTCAATTGAAAGAACAACTCAAGGTCCCCCCTCAAAGGTGATTGCTAACGTGGTATAAGCGAGTACAATGCACATACAACAAGTAGCAAAAGGCTAATAAAAATTACGATGGCGATGCATCATTCTTGAAGACGTCTTGAAGATGCCTCGTTCTTGAAGAGCTTTAATGAAAAGAAGGACTAGGGCTGACATGATAGCAGTCTTCCAATTTTTGAGGAGCTGCCACAAGGAAGAGGGGGGGGTCAACCTATTCTCCAAAGCACCTGAGGACAGGGCAAGAAGCAACGGGTGGAAACTAATCAAGGAGAGAACCAACCTAGAATTAAGAAGAAATTTCCTGTCAGTGAGGACAATTAACCAGTGGAACGACTTGCCTCCAGAAGTTGTGAATGCTCCAACACTGGAAGTTTTTAAGAAGAGGTTGGACAACCATTTGTTTGAAATGGTATAAGGTCTCCTGCTAATTTCTTTTCTTTTATGTACACTGAGAGCATATGCACCAAGACAAATTCCTTGTGTGTCCAATCATGCTTGGCCAATAAAGAATTCTATTCTGTTCTATTCTATTCTATTCTATTCTATCTATTCTATTCTATTCTATTCTATTCTATTCCTATTCTATTCTATTCTATTCTATTCTATTCTATTCTATTCTATTCTTTGGTCTTCTGCTAGACCTAGAAGACCTCCAAGGTCCCTTCTGACTTTTTCTGTCTTGATGGGAGTTTTATATAACTGCTAAATTTTTATTCTTCTTTCATATTTTTTCCCAATGCGCTGGACTACACAATGTGTTTTCATAGAATTGTGTCTCACAGCAAGCAAGAGGCACAATCTGTCCAGGAGCCAAAATGAATCAACACTTTCAGGCAGAAGGCTGCAACCTCCCGCAAGAGAAATTAACTTTAAGTTCCTGTTCACCAAAGGGTGGGGGTGGGGGGGAACGGTGTTTCCTGGCCCTCTGTTTTCTGCCTCCTGTTTGTGGTGTAACTACTGCTGGACCACAGCAAATTCCCTGCCTCTTCCATTTGGCCTGAATGAACCCTGTTTTCCCTATTCGCTCCCTGTTTTGTAAAACCAGAACCATTCCATCTGGAGTAACTTGACAATTGCTTCAGAAACGAATTATGACAGCCATAAATCTTCGCCCTGATGGATGGTTTGTCAAGCGGGATGTGGTAGAAGACACATCTTTTCCTTCTTTCTGAGAAAAATTAAATAGGGGCCACCAACATTCTTTAGTAGAAGAGTTGTAGCTCCTCGTACACTTGATTCAAAACAATCCCAAACCACAAGACTGCCGTTTATGCATTTCAGCGAGAAACTTGACTCGGCTTCCCGTTAATTGAGTTGTGCAACCATCAAGATTTTACAGGTGAAAATAGGGAGGCAATTTATTAAAACTTGGGAGGGTTGCTTCCCCATAACACAGCGAAAGCTCCCATGAAGTCAGATAGATTGCATTCCCTCTTGAATAATTTTGCACAAACAAGAAATTCAGAGGAATGGAAAGAACAAATTTATTAGGGCTCCTCCTGACTCTTCAATTGTTTTGCTCTGAATGTTATAAAACAATCTCATTTGGGGTTTGGGGGAAAATGGAGATTGCCAGCCAACCATTCCTTATTTGCAGAACCTCAGTTCTTTCCCCTTCAGTCAAAAAAAGTAAAAGGAAATAAAGAGAACAAAAAGACAAGGCAAGGCCATTTCCCCCCAATTTTTTTTTTTTTAGTTTTCTCTTAATTGTTCAAATTCAGCAAAAAGGCTTATTCTTGGTTTAAGTTCTGTATAGTAAAGACTTCAAATGATTTTATGAACTTTTTTGGCAGTGGTTGTTAAGCAAATGCCACAATTATTAAGCTGGCTGGGGAATTCTGGGGGTTGTAGTCCACAGGTCTTAAATTTGTCAAAGTTGGACACACCTATTCTAGAGTTATATCTGATAAATGAAGAGGTGTAAAAAATATCAGATAGCCAGTTTGATCTACCTGTTAAGGTACCAGGCTAGAAACCAGGAGTTCTACTCCCACCTTAGACAAAAAAGCCAGCTGGGCAATCTTGGGCCAGTCATTCTAATTGAGCCCTAAGAAGAAGGCAATGGCAAACCACTTTTGAAATTTTTCCAAGGAAAATGTAGAGACTTTTCTAGGTATTGGCAAGACTGACTTGAAGGAACCCAAAAATAAAAAATCAGGGACTCGAGCATACAAAAATTGAGAAATTGCCTATTTTAAACACATAAAGAAAAAGAATAATACTTCTGGAAGATCGTGCTGTCAGTGAAAGGAGGCTATGTACACATTTTACAACACACAGTAAAGCAGATGACGAATTTAAAATGGATATATAGATAAAATTGATTGAAAACTGGCTATCATCAGCGTGATACCTCCCAATTACACACACATACTCTATTTACACAACGAACTCCTGTTACTTGGAATATTTATAAGCTTTCCAATTTTCAGAATGGAGACGTATAAGACTATAGAGGTAGTTCTCGACTTACAACCACAATCGGGACCAAATTTTCATTGCTATGCAAGATGGTCGTTATGCGAGTTACACCTGATTTTCAACCTTTTCCTGCCACAGTTGTTATAAAAATTGTTAAGTGACTCTTGCGGGGGGGTTTTTTGGTTTTTTTTTTAATTTGATTTAGATGCCGCCCTTCTCCAGAGACTCAGGGCGGCTTACAATGCGTTAAGCAATAGCCTTCATACTTTTGTATATTTATACAAAGTCAGCTTATTGCCCCCATAAACTGGGTCCTCATTTCACCTACCTTAGAAAGGATGGAAGGCTGAGTCAACCTTGAGCCTTGGAGAGATTCGAACCAGCAGAAATTGCAGGCAGCTGTGTTAATAACAGGGTGCATTAAACCACTGTACTATCAAGGCTCCTTTTAAGCAAATTGTTAAGCAAATCCAGATTCCCCCGTTGCCAGAAGCTGGGTGGGAAGGTCACATATGGCGATCACATGACCCCGGGATGTTGCAATTATTGTAAATATATGATAGCTACCAAACCCCTGAATTTTGATCGTATGACCCTGGGGATGCTGCAATGGTCATAAGAATGAGAACTGGTCATAAATCACTTTGTTCAGTGTTGTTATAACTTTGGTCACTAAATGAATGGGTTGTAAGTCAAGGACTACCTGTTATGTTCGTCCCCAAGGAGACAGAGGAATCAAAAAGGAATATTTGCTTAAATCAGAAGAGAACTATTATTGAAGTCTTGTTGAAGCAGAAAGTTCGGATAGAGGAGGGTTGAATGAGGCAGTGAGGGAGGCTGGGAGTTTTGGGAACGAGGCTATATGCAGCAATAAACAGCAAGACTATATATACACAGAGACAAAATAAAGGTAAAGAAAACGGACAAATAAAATATTTTAGGGAGTTCTAGAGAGAAGATTGGCCTGATTTTGAATGAAGCAAACCTGCAGTCTTTTGAAATGATAAAAATGGATTTTCCTTAGAATAATGGAAGAAAACTTTTCTCCCTTTTGGAGGAAAATCTTTGTGAAAAGGGTTTGGAGATCTGCTAGAAACAGGACTAAAAAATTCAAAATGGTGGCAGCGACGGAGAGATCAAAGCCCCACCTCTTTTTAAATGGGTGGGGCTACGATTGCTTGGTCCTTGCCACCATCTTGACTTTTTTGACCCTCTTTCCGGATACCCTTGGTACAAACTATGACTCGAGAATCGAAATGCGGATATGTCTAGGTTACATCGATTTCTATTTATATAAATAAGATTTTTTTTTTCCTTTTGGTTTTAATAAATACCAGGTATATAATGTACAGTCTGCACATTATTACAGATAATGCCCCTGAACGTTAGGAATTGGACAAATCACCCCAAAATAGATTTTCAGATGTAGTTCTCTTCAGCATCATCTGTGTCCAAGGCATTTTTATTCACAACTGCGGAAGGAAAGAAAGAAAAAATTAATCCTTTTTAGTCATCTTTGACCCTGAATAGCTACCCTGAAACGACAAGATCTCCAGCCCTTTGGTGCAAACTAACTCACTCATGTTATGCTAGGTTTCCCCCATTGAAGCCAGACTTACATGTACACCTTCCATAATGCCGGATCCCTATGGATTGACCGAAGTAGCAGGTGGCTCGTCGTAGGTGGCAGGTAGAAGGGTAGGTCACATTGTTGTTCCCACAGATTGTGTGGTCTAGGCTGGTGGGGTCTGGACAGGGTTCAACGCGACACATCACACAATGGGCACTCCCGGTCTGGTCCACCACGCAGGTGTGAGTTCCGGGGCAGACCACACTGGAGCAAGATTCTGTTGCAAAGAAAGACATTGAAATCAACCTTGGGAGGTAGACCATTTCTTGACATGGAGGTTCCTTTCGTTCCCATGGAACACAGTAGAAGGATGCCCGGAGTCATGGTATCGGGATGAGTGGCTATATAAATCGAAATAATAAAATAATAAAATTTTGGACGAGGCCGAAATTTGCCATCCATTTGGTAAGCTCGCAAGATTCATTTTTCTCGCCATGTACATGTATATATCAGAACTAGACTGGGTTGTTTCTCTGTGTCATATAATATATGCAGGTATATGCTTAATTTTGTATTTATTTATTTTTTTGTTTATTCTATTTTGTAGTATATATTGGAGGTGGTGACCTTTGAGAGCTGTATGCAACAAAATTTCATTTTAATGTATGCCACTTAGTGTACATTCAAAGTGACAATAAAATTATTCTATTCTATTCTATTCTATTCTATTCTATTCTATTCTATTCTATTCTATTCTATTCCATTCCATTCCACTCCACTCCACTCCACTGTTCCGTTCCGTTCCGTTCCATTCCATTCCATTCTATTCTCTCGCAAAGAATCAAAAATAGCATGAGGGCAATATCCTCCTTGTTGATCCCATTATGTGATATTAAGACTCTCCTTCATCTGAAGTTTTTCTCAACCTTGACTTTAAGGTGGATGGACTACATGTTGGCTGGGGAATTCTGGAAGTTGAAGTCCATCTATCTTAAGCTTACTAAGGTTGAGAATCACTGATCTGGAGACTTCACTCATCTTTTAATATCCCTTTTAAAGACATCTGGTTCAGGCAGGCTCTTTGAATGTCATAAATGTAGGAATTTATCCCGTCTAATTATATGACCATGCATTCTCCAGGGCACTTTTTATAATAGAATTTCCACCAAAGAAGACCAAAGACACTGTCACTTTAGTTTAGCGTACAGACAAAAATCTCAGGCATTTTCCATTTTCTGACGACCCTCGTTTTTAAAGAAAACTATGTGTCAAGGAAAAAATATTACGCCAGAAACCGATTCATTTTATAGTGTTTTTGGCCCAAGTGAAAAGTATTGTGAAGCATTGTGTGATGCTCCCCAAAACAAAAGTTCCAGGAAATAAAATTAATATCCTCCTTTTTACACACAAAGTCTTATTTTTAGATATTTATTTTGTGCAAAATTAACTAGAAGCAAACTCTTCACTTATTGCTCAACACACAGGATATTATTCAGAAGTTTTACCCTTATGTGGATGTCAAAGTAATCACAAATGGGTACACAGAAGATTCATGTGGTCAGTGTTTAATCAGGTCAGGTCAAAATCTAGTGAATACATTAAAATATGGTGAATCATGGTTAGATATTTGTGGATCAGTCTGTTCTGCAGACCTAATTTGTCAGGTTGGTTTAGGGGCTTAAGCTCTGTGAACTTAGAAAAATGGGTTGAATTCAGAAACCAGGTTATACACATGGTTTGAATGTGGCCAATGTATTGAGAGCCAGTTTAATTAGTGGTTTAGCTACCAGTCTGCAGCCAGGAGACTGTGAGTTCTAGTCCCGCCCTAGGTATCAAAGCTGGCTGGGTGATCTTGGGCCAGTCACTGTTCCTCAGCCCAACTCACCTCACAGGGTTGTTCTGAGGAAAATTGGAATAGGAAATAACTATTGTGGTCCGCCAGCAGCCTTCGGAGTTGGACAGTGAGGAGGCTGGGGAGGACAATGGGCCAGTCCTGGAGTCTGGGGAAGGCCCGGACGAGGGCTCTGCATTGGAGACAGAGATGGGGCCAGGGCCATCTGGGAGTGAAGTGAGGACTCTGGACTGGAGCCCCCCGAGTCAAACAGCAGAGAGGCAGAGGAACAGGAGGCTTAAAACAGAAGCAAAGGCACGTGAGGCCTTTGTAGGAAAGCAATGTTGTTAATTCTGTTCCTAGTCGGCATCTCTGTTTGATTTTGGACTCCATGTGGCTTTGCCGAGTAGGTCTTTGGCAGTGTGTCAAGGGAGATAAAGGTTGGTGATTATCCTGAAGGACTTCTCCCGAAGGACTTTTTGCAACTAATTGGAACTTAGCTGTGAATGAACGTAATTCACAGCTGTTGCAATAAAAGAGGTTTTTGGGACTACTCTTGTGTTTTAATGACTCAAGAAGCCTAGGTCACAACAGGAACATTATAAGTAAACCTCAACTTATGACCGCAGTGGAGCTCAAAATTTCTATCATATATGTTGATGATCGTAAATAGAGGTACCCTCGTGACCAGTCTGATTTTATGACATTTTTTGTGTCAGTTGTTAAGTGAACATCATGGTAATTAAGCGAACACATTGTCCTCAATGGATGCTTTTGGCGACAACTGTGGGGTGGGATTAAGGCGTCAGAATTTAGCATCCATGACATAAGTACTTTTGGGGGGGGGGTGTCCATCATTACTTGGAACAGTCATTGAGTGACTGGTGGTAAATTGAAGACTGTGTGTATGTTGGCCACCTTGAATTATTTATAAAAATAACAAAGCCGGGTTCAAATCTAATAAATAAATGTGTGATTTCAAGATCTCTAATAGGAAAGAATATAGCTAGCTCAGGGTTGAACTGTAGCTCAGGGTTGAACTGTGGGGTCCTTGGTGCTCTCTGAGCTTGGTTGTTTTCTTGTACAGGGAGTCCTCAACTTATAACCATTTCTTTAGTGACAGTACTGAAAAAAGTGATTTATGACTGTTCTTCATACTTACAACAGTTGCAGCATCCACACAGTCATGTGTATACTGCACAAGCCAGAAAGAGGGCTGTGAAAATATTACAGACCCCTCACATCCTTGACATAAATTGTTTCAACTTTTTCCCTCAAGATGACGCTATAGGGCGTTGCACGTTAGAACAACTAGACAAAAGGACAGTTTTTCTTCCATGCCATCACTCTGCTAAATAACTAATTCTCATAACACTGTCAAACTATCTAGTAAGGCTGTATTACTATTATTCTTCTCATCTTTCCTTTTTTTAAAAAAAAACAAAACTTTATTAAATCTTAAAAACATTTAAAATATACAAGTTTCTCTTAATCAAAAACAATTTTACATATACAGTACACAACTTCATCTACTGACTAATTTCTATTATTATATATACATATATACATACACACAGTGACTTATTACCTATTCTATCCATCTTCTCATCTTTCCTATTGCCTATCTCCTTATCTTCTTTTGACTACAACTTTGTTGCTTGTATCTTACAATTTACATTGTTTTATTTAGTATCCTAGTGTGATTTATGTTGATTGCTTATTTAGTATCCTATGACTATCACTAAGTGTTGTATCTTATGTTTCATGATGAATGTATTTTTATGATATGATCATGATTTATCACTTGTTTGTATGTATACTGGGAACTTATGCGCAGGAGACAAATTCCTTGTGTGTCCACACTTGGCCAATAAAGAATTCTATTCTATTCTATTCTATTCTATTCTATTCTATTCTATTCTATTCTATTCTATTCTATTCTATTCTATTCTATGCTACGCTATGCTACTCTACTCTATTCTATTCTATGATCAAAATTCAGACCCTTGGCATCTGCTTCATATTTATGACAGTTTTTTTTTTTTGCTTTCATTTATATGTCCTTCTCCGGAGACTCAGGGCAGCTTACAATGCGTTAAGCAATAGCCTTCATACTTTTGTATATTTATACAAAGTCAGTTTATTGCCCCCACAATCTGGGTCCTCATTTCACCTATCTTTGAAAGGATGGAAGGCTGAGTCAACCTTGAGCCTGGTGAGATTTGAACTTGCAGTAATTGCAAGCAGCAGATGTTAATCTGTTAATAACAGTGCTTTAGTCCACTGTACTACAGGCTCTATAGTTGAAGTGTCCTGGGGTCATATGATCCCCTTTTCAGACCTTCTAACAAGCAAAGTCAATGGGGGAGCCAAATTAGTAAGTAACAACGTGTTACTAACTGAACAACTGCAGTGATTCACTTAACCACTGAGGCAAGGAAAGTTGTAAAAGGGGGCAAAATTCACTTAACAATTGTCTCACTTAGCAACAGAAACTTTGGGCTCAGTTGTGGTCATAAATTGAGGACTACCTGTAATCGTTTTATTACCCAACTAGGTAACATCATCAGTGATACTCTGCAAGGCAACCACCAGGCTCAGAAACCACCAAGGACTCCAAAGATCTCTGCCTGGAGATCAGAAACACCCATGGAAGAGAAGCACCACTCACTTTTGCATTGTCCTTGGTACATGACCTCCAAGTCAGGCTGCCCTTTGCATTTGGCCATGAGAAGCTCACATTCATCTTGGTAGGTGAAACCATTGGAGCCGCACACTTGAAGCTTCCTGGGAAGGTTGGAGCAATCGGGAGCACAGACACACTGCGGGCGTCTATGCTTCATTTTGCAAACTTTGCCTGGTCCACAGTCCACCCCTTCGCAGGACTCTGGGTGAAGAAATAAAAACAAAGGGTCAGCCATTGTTAGAAGAAGTATAAATCAGGGAGCGTCTCAGAAAGTGGAGAAGGACAAATCATTTGTGTTGCTTTCTTTATAAATAATATTCCTTTACAAAGGAGCCTGAGTGGCGCAGCAGACTAATGCTACTGTTAAAGGTAGTATTTAGCTTCCAGCTGCCTGCAATTACTGCGAGTTCAATTCTCACCAGTCTCAAGGTTGACTCAGCCTTCCATCCTTTCTAAGGTAGTTAAAATGAGGACCCGGTTTGTGGGGGCAATAAGCTGACTTTGTATAAAATATACAAAAGTATGAAGGCTATTGCTTAATACATTGTAAGCCGCCCTGAGTCTCCGGAGAAGGGCGGCATATAAATCAAAACAAAAACAAAAACAAATTATAATATAATAAATTATAATATAATATTCTACTATAAATAATATTCCTTGTGTGTCAAATCACATTTGACCAATAAAGAATTCTATTCTATTCTATTCTATTCTGTTCTATGCTATGCTATGCTATGCTATGCTATGCTATGCTATGCTATGCTATGCTATGCTATGCTTTGTTCTATATTCTATTCTATATTCTATTCTATTTTATTTTCTATTCTATTCAATTTTCTATTTTCTATTCTATGAATTATATATATATGGGTATGTGTGCAATAGAGGCAAGTATCTATAGCTCGGGTGTACATTTCTCTCTTCCTCCCTCCCTCCCTCCCCCTGAATTCAGAAGGAAACAAAACAGCTGCTGATATTTTCCACATTCACATAAGGATCTGCACCCGGGTTTTCCTGGTCCAGGTTCAAGCCCATCACACTTGACAAATTTGCACTACTGACCAGCCACCAACGGGCTGACCGTTGTCCACTGGACGAGTTCTGTCTCTTCCAGTAGCTGCACCAGGGCCATTCTCAGGTCCACAATGTGCTTTCCAACACATCCAAATGCAGGCAAAACCCTCCATTACAACCCAGCCGTGTCAAAGGAGGACCCCCAAATTGCAGAGATGTGTCTGCACGATCAGACAATTTTGCCAGAGGGGTCTAAAAGAAGGAGAGTCACGTCGGCTGGAGAGGATCCTAGAGAAAGCTTTTATCAGACAATGGGCTTCCCTGTTTCGCACCGAGCTTCCGTGACATAAAAAACAAGAACAAACAACAAGTCAGAAGAAAAACTGTCTGGGGAAACAGGAGTGAGGGGACGAGGGAAATATGCCTCTTTGGGCTACAAGGGGAGGAGGGAGACAAATGGGTACATTGTGTGACTGGGGGACCCCCGGGCAAAAACTGTCTGGCGGGGTTCAAAGCAGGCGGGCGAGGTGTGCAAAACTCATCCCCCCCAAAGCGCAGAAGTCTGGAGCAGACGTGTGTGGGCCTTTCTGGAAGTCTGGGAGAATGTTGGCCGGCAACCAAGTTGAGGGCTGTACCGTTTTTAATTTTTTTTTTTAAATTTGCATGAGGTTTACGGGGATGAAGTCGAAAGGAGAATCTCTGAAGTCTGAAGGTGCCTTTCCTATCTTGGCCAGACAATCGATCTGGGGAGTGGGGGAGAGAAAAGTGAGGAAGGTGGGAAAGTGGCGGGGTAGATTGCACCCCTCCATGGAAGTTCTACAGATAATCCTCGACTTATGACCACAATTGAGCCCATAATTTTGCCCCATGAGTGTTGCCCTGTTTTATGACCTTTTCTGGCCACAGTTGTCAAGCAAATCCCGGCAGGTGTTAAATCAGTAACATGGTTGTTAAGGGAATCTGGGTTTCCCCATTGACTTTGCTTGTCAGAAGGTCCCAAAAGGTGATTATATGACCTCAGGACAATGCAACCGTCACAAACAATTATACCCAATGGGCATTGTTTTTGCCGGAAACCAGAAGTAAACACCGGGAATCAGTAAAAATGCCAAAAATAGTGGTCACATGACTGCGGGATGCTGCAAACAGCGGTAAATATAAGTCGGTTGCCAAGCACCGAAAATGTGATCACATGATCACAGGAATGGGTGTCTGTGACCATCAGGATTTCAAAATTTGGGTTGTAAATACAGGGTTTGTCATAACTTCAAATGGTCACTAATGGAGCAGTCATTAAGCAAGCATTATTTGTAGAGACTACTACTTGTTGGCTGGGGATTAGGGAAATTGAAGTGTACATGTTTCAAAGTTGTTGATGTTGAGAAACACTGGCCTACAGCAACATTCTGGGATATTCGTCATTTAAAGGAAGAGCCTAGAATCCTGAAGCAAAGGAAAGAACATTGTAATGAGTAAATCTGGGACTTTTCAGTTTAGGAGAGATCGCTGTTGGCTTCATAGGACCGGTTAGGAGTTAGTGCTTAAAACAAGTTACAAAACCTTCTACCTTTGCAGGGGTGGCAGCTCACAAGGCCCAAGATCCTAAGAAGGCCGATCTTGTTGTCTGGGTGTGAGTAATTTGACCAGGCCATGTCCGTGTTTCCGTTGCCACAACAGTCTTCCCAAGTGACCCCCATCTGGAGAATCATCGTGCACTTGGCTTCCCGTCCTTGCTGTAACCAGCAGATCCCACCTGTAGGGAGAAAGGGGGACAACTGAGAATTCCCTCTTTTTTATTAAAGTTTTTTTTTTGTAAATAAAAAACAAATTAATTCAAAAGTTCAAAAGTTAGAATGGAAGGAAGGAAGGAGGGAAGGAAGGAAAGAATGAATGAATTTGGAAAATGGGCGCTATATTAATGTTTTAAACAAATAAATAAATTTGGACTGAGAAAAGGATCTGCAACAAAGCAGAAATGTGGAGAACTACACAAAACTAAATATAGATATATCAAAAGAAGGAAACATATAAAGATGTTTGCTTTGCATTTAACATATCTCTACCTAACATACTTTCTAAGTTTATCTACTGATTAGAATGAAATTAATCTTCATTTTCCACAGTTCTCCAAACATTGCAAATCAGTTCCGTATAAAACAAAAAGGATCTAAAAATGCCTACAGAAAATATGTTTTACTGGTAATTCGTGTACAACAGATATACAATTTGCATCAAAAATTCTTGCTTATATTTAGGTAAGCTACTGGCAGTGCTGTTTGTATGAAATCCAGTGTTGATCTAGTAAAATATTGCTTTTGTAACTCCGGAGACTATCATTAATAGTAATGATTTCTGCAATTTGAGGATCATGTCTGAATGGCAAATATTTCCATGACAGCTAGATGATGCCTCCAAATTAGAATAGTCCAGATATTTGCCATCCAGACATGGTAATTCTAGTTTATTTTCATTAAAAGGATCAATAGGTATAAAAAATGCTTGCTTAAAGTCAGTCTCCAGATAGAATGATGGAATGGTTCCAATTAGCTTTCTATATTGCTGAGCTTCTGAATATTGTAATCCAGAAGTATTTTTATATGTGTATTCCAATGTTGGACACCCTTGGCAACTTTAAATGTGAGTTTACAATTGTTGAAGTCCATACACCTTAAAATTGCTAAAGTTGAGAAACACTGCAGCATTTTAAAAAGCTGAACCAGTCAGATATAGATAATTGATTCCTTATCATATACAGATAGTCCTCGATTTAGGACCACAATTGAGCCCAACATTTATGTTGCTAAGTGAGCCAATTATTAAGTAAGTTTTGCCTCATTTTACAACCTTTCTTACCACAGTTGTTAAGTGAATCACTGCAGTTAAAGTTAGTAACATCATTGTCAAGTGAATGAGGCTTCCCTATTGACTTTGCTTGTCAGAAGGTCGCTAAAGGGGAATCACATGACCATAGGACATGGCAACCGCTATAAATATGAATCAGTGGCCCAACATCCCAATTTTAATCACGTGACTATGGGGATGCTGCAATGGTCGTAAGTGCGAACAACGGTCATAAGTCATTTTTTCAGTGCTGTTGTAACTTCGAACAGTCATTAAGTGAATGGTTGTATATTGAGGACTACCTGTATTTTTTTTAACATAAAAATATAAGAGAAACAGCATGGTCTAAATCTGTGAATCACTTATCTAACAAATTTCAGTCCATACCTGTTTCCCATTCCTCTGGTTAATTCAATTCTGACCTTCATTCTTCCAGCAGGTGTGCTACTACAGGTAGTCCATGACTTGAGATTGGTCATTTAGTGACCATTCAAAGTAACAACAGGCCTTCCCAAGGCTGCTTATGACCTAGATTCTAATTTCCGATGCTTCCCCATAGTCACATGATCGCTTTTTGGCTGCTCAGCAACCAGCCCACGTTAAGGCTGTGTGCAGCATCCCGCAGTCAGATGATCATGATTTATGGCATCTAAAGCAAATCTAAATTGCACGGCAGAGCTGTTCCCCCTGCCCTCGCTGTTCTACTTACCTTAGAAAAGGCTTCTTAAGCCTTCTTTTTCAACGCTGCGCAGTAGCGCCTGCGGTGCGCTTGCGCGTAAAGTGCACATCTGACACGCACCGCACATGCATGTGCAAAGCAAACCAGTAGCAGACCTCGGAGGATTTCACCGTGGACACAAACCACACATCATAGCCCAACTTGGCTAGATAGGCCCCAAAACTGAGAATGGAAAGTTTGTGCCTGGTGGCCTCATTGACCTCTGCAGATCATGTATTCTGGTCTCAGGGCCTCAACAAGCTCCTGGGTTGAACTTTAGTAATTCCAAGGTCAGCCCAGTCTCCTCGGGGCTGAGCATCCTGGTTTAGACAGGGTGTCCAGACAGACCAGCTTTGTTTTGCTCCCAAAAGGGAGAAGCTTTGACAAACTGGAAAAGGAGTGGGTGGGTGGCTTAGGCGAGGGAAGAGCAAGGAAGGGACCGTGGGAGGTCTGTCTGGGACTCTTGATCCGCTGTTTCTTTCCACTCTGGAGGGAAACACAATTTCTCCCCCACCAACACCCGCCCGAAAGCTACTCGACCCAGTCACAGCCAGCCAGCTGGCAGCCAACTCAAAAGGCTGTTTGTTTCTTAATCTCGTGAACTAATCACTCATTTCTTACAAGAGAGTTCTCTGCAATTTCCGTCTCACTGCACCAGACGCTCCCACGTTCTTCAGCTTTCCCCCCCAAAAATAGTCGACTCTGAGTATGGCCGGGAGGCAAGATGGTGGAATCCCCATCGTAGCAAAGGTGGATTCCTTCAGCTTCGCCTATAATCTTTTAAATCCAACCGTGGCCGGTTGTTAATAGTTCACAGAGCGGCCTTGCACGATTTGGGACCCAGAGCCAAATGTGCCAGCCAGATGGATGGACAGCCTGCCAGGTTGTACAGCAGCTTCCTCCGCTTAACCACCAACAGACTCTCTCTCTCTCTCTCTCTCTCGATTTACACATTATTTCATCATTTGTAAGTCCCATGGGGACTAGCAAGCTCACCGGCTGAATTTAGGTAGGCCTCAATTTACAACAGTTTGTTTACTGACCGTTCAAAGTTACAACAGCACTGAAAATAGTGACTTATGACAGTTTTTCACACTTACGACCATTGCAGCATCCCCATCATGAGCATATGATTAAAATTCAGACACTTGTCAGTTGATCCATATTTATCCATGTGATCACCTTGTGTGACTTTCTGACAAGCAAAGTCAATGGGGAAGCCAGATTCACTTAACAACCACCTTGCTAACATAACAACAGCAGCAATTCACTTAATAACTGTGGAAAGCAAGGTTATAAAATGAGGCAAAGCTCACTTAACAAATATCTCGCTTAGCAACATAAACTTTGGGCTTAATTGTGGCCATAAGTCGAGGATTAGATATAGTTCAAGGAGAGAAGTAGGTTGGCTAGCTAAAAAAAAAGAGAAAATAATTGTTGAATGTATGACCAGATAGTTTTTGTGGCTGAGGATGGTACCCTTGCAAGTTGCTACTGTCTGATAATTTGTATTATTATGTATTGATGATTATTATATACACCATAATGTGAAATCGCAGCTGTTAGTTCTTTAATTGATGTTGGCCTTCAAATGAATCAAGTTCTTCATCAAAAATCTGGGATAGCGTAATGTATCAGCATAGTATATGTGTTGATCCAAGCCATGTGACAGTTGGAAATTTTGTCAATGTGCAGATTTTCTACAAGGCATCCAAGATTTTTTTGGGTATGCCATCCAGCGTGCCAATTATAATAATAATTATTGTTGTTGGTTGCATAGCCAGCCAAATGTTTAGCCTGGATTTGGCATTGCAACTGGGATACACAAATGTATTATAATTATCATATGCATCTACAGTTGTTCTATATACCGTGTTTCCCCCAAAATAAGACTGGGTCCTATATTAATTTTTGCTCCAAATGACGAATTAGGGCTTATTTTCTAGTTAGGTCTTATTTCAGGGGAAATATGGTACTAAATGCATCCATCAGGCTGACAATCTTAATTAGGGCTTATTTTGGGGGTAGGGCTTATGTTACGAGCATCCTGAAAAATCATGCTAGGGTTTATTTTCCGGTTGGGTCTTATTTTCGGGGAAACAGGATACATATACAATACAATTAAATGTATTAAGGTACGTCGCACAGTCGGCCAGATGTTCAGACTGGATGTTAGCATTTTTATCCACCTATCAAATCCTTCTTGATATATATACATTATTATGTACATACATAAATCACAGCGGCCGGTTATTTGAATTTGTATCACTACCCATTTCATCTAAGCAACTTAGGCAGCTCACAGCTGGTAAAAACAATCCAATTAAATCAAGCTTAAAAAAATATACAAACATATAAAAGCATTTTTAAAATACATTGGCTTCCTATTTAATTTCCTTTTTGCCATGGGCATCACACTTATTCCTTGCCAAGCATGTAGGGTCTGGTTACACTTGAATCAGAAACTAAACACAAGTTTGGATCGCATGAGAGTCTGAATGTACCATATGTGTGCTAACTTCACTGTAAACTGCACCGAATCCACCTTCTTACTGCTTCAATTCAGGGTTGTTCAATCTTGACAAGTTTAAGGCATGTGGACTTCAGCTCCCAGAATTCCCCAGTCAGCCATGTTGGCTGGGGAATTCTGGGAGCTGAAATCAACAAGTCTCAAAACTTGTTTCAGGGATAGGCTGTATGATTTACATCTGGAAGGTTACCTTTTTCCAATAGTAGCGAATCTTTGCCATTGCAGAATCAGAAGGATCTCTTCAAAGGGATCGATGTTATTAAAAGGTATAATTTTTTAATCCATTAGATGAAGTGAGCTGCTGCTCACAAAGGTTGATGAGGCAATGAAGCTTATTAGTCGGGAAAGGTGCTACCAGATTCCTCCTGATTTTTTTCGCCATCATAGACTACTAATCTGGTAATCTTCCTGTAATGTTTTCTAGCTGTTGCCATCATTACACTGCATCCTGATCAGAGGTGGGTTTCAGCAGGTTCTGACCAGTTCTGGAGAACTGGTAGCGGAAATTTTGAGTAGTTCGGAGAACCAGTAGTAAAAATTCTGACTGGCCCAATCCCCATCTATTCTCTGCTTCCCAGGTTCCAACTGATCGGGAGGAAATGGGGATTTTGCAGTAACCTTCTCCTGGAGTGGGGTGGGAATGGAGATTTTACAGTACCCTTCC